GTTTAAACGATATAGTTCAGAGTTTTTTTTACCGTTTTCCCATTTTTGGTAAACATTAGGTTTTACCAATGGTTGACTTGTTGTAACGAAGCCAAAAAATATATTCGAAATCTAATCCATCAATGCTTATAATCAGTATTAAGTCAAATATAGCGGTTGTATTTGGTCACCCGAAAGTAAAAAATTCACATGGGGGATGCTAACTTCTTGATTATCAATAAAAAATGCCAATTACATCCTGTTTTGATTTACTAAATTATGTGCTTAGGTATTTCATCATTACAAAAAGACTTCCCAAGCAGACGTGTAGAGTTAATGTAACAAGAAAGATTTCGATAAAAGTTCTTATAAATTTATGAATAATCTATAATTGATGGAAAAAAAAATGAAATAGAAGCCGCACATAGTAGAGTCCGAAAAACTGAAGTATCAGTGAAACACGTAAAGATATGCTGAATGATTGTTTATGGACCGACAATAAATTTTTTCCATTATGCTAGTAATGAGATATCTCTTCAATTTTATGTGTTTTAGACAAGGCATAAGGAAAATGATGTAGATTAAAACCACATATGTTACTAAAATCACATATAATTCGATCTCCTTTCTCACTTTGAACTGGTCTCTTTATTTACTCAAGGTAGGAAAATGAAAATGAAAATGAGCATCTGTCGCTTACTCCTTCAGTTTTTCACCTTTTGGGCCCATAATTGTCTTATATCTTCTACATTGGGCTTTCGCGTTATAGATGGGCCCAACCCTTGAGTGGTACTCACGTTTTTTTTACTACAAAGACACGTGTCGGCTGTGTTCAATGCGCAAACCGGTTACGTGTCCAATTTATCCGCTTCCGAATCAGGTTCGCGATATTATTTCCGTCATTACCCGAATTCACCGGCAAGGTGTAAGAATCCCTAATCCAAACTATTTCTTGGATTTGGGGGAAATAAAAACAAAGTTCGAAGAAGGTCGTCGGATTTGTAGATCATGGAGTTTTCTCTGATCGCCGATACAGTCGCAGTTTGCACGGCGAAGCAAGGAATCGCGTTTGGGAAATCTCTTCTTAATCGGTGGGATTTGGTTAATCACATTTCTTTCGCAGATTCCGCCGTTGATCAATCTCTAGGTGGGAATGTTCAAGCATCGGCGATTATTTTTCCCGTTGATGCAATCGCTCCTCCGCCGGTTAGATCTAGCTCTTACAAGACAATCCGCCGGATCCGTAAGAAGCGGCGTACGAAGCGAGTTTCGTTTGGTGGTGATTCGGAAGACGGTGGTGGTGATTTTGGTCGTTTTATCTTAGAAGGTGGTGATTTCGGTGGTAACGACGGTCCTTTCGGGTTTGGCGATGGAGGAAGCGATGGAGGAGGAAAGGGATGGAACTCCGGTGGTGGTGGTTTCGGAGGGGGAAATTGGGATGAATCTTCGTTTTCGTCTTGGTCGGATCCAGCAATGGAATTCGTGTACGAAGTGATTTGCTGGATCGCTTTGTCGAATTGCGTTCATTTCGCGTTCAAGAGGATAGTGAGGATCGTAACGGACGGTGAAAGGGAGAAGTTGAACATCACGTTATCTCCGGTGTGCTGACAAAATCCGTGGTTTAGGTTGCATTCATATGTTGAAATTTCTTAATTTCAGGATCAATTTCAATCATATTTGTCTCTCGTGTG